CTTTTCATATAACTCTTTAAGTTTAGTCACGATTACAAATGTTTATTTTATTCTTCTCACAAGAAACCATAATATGTTTCAATATCATCAATATGATGTGATCTAATGAAAGAAATCAACGACTTCCGTTTGACTATTTCTTTCCTTGTTTTCCGAAATAGACATGGAAATCAGATTAATTTATTTCTTTACTCTACTATTGCCGTCAGGCGACACAGTTGAAAAAGTTCAATTAATCGGGAATGATTTCCATTCAATTATAATCTTTGTTCTCATCATGAATTGACTCAATCAAGAGATTTTCTTCTTTTTTTTTCTCTCTCTCTCTCTCTCTCTCTCTCGTATGCGCTATATATCCTCATTGATTTATTATTCACTTGTTAGCTATAAAATAAATATTGCTGTTACCTTAATATTGACAAATCAACATGTATTCATTGGTACACTGATGATGTTGTTATTAAAGATAGGATATCACAATTGTTATAGATGTCAATCTTTTTTCTTTTGTCAGTTGTGTGTATGTTCAATTAGAGAAATAAGTGCGAACATGCGCGAACGTCGTACTATGCATTTTTTTTTCTTCTTCTTCTCTATCTCTTAAGTACTATCGATTTTGAAGATGATGTAATCTTTCTTTTTTTTTTTAACATTCTTTCCAGGCATATTCACAGCTCGAATTCTTTTTCTTTTTTACTTGTTCATTCATTATTATTTTTTTTTTGCCTCTCAAGAGACTCATCACATTCTGTCTATGCAATTTTACATAAGTTTTTTATTCTTCAATGAAGCTGAGCTCAATGCTAGAGAGAAACAATCATCATTACGACAGTATCTCATGAGAGATGTAAAACGGTAATAATGACGCCGCCCTATTTTCCTCATTAGCGTGACAATTTTGCTTGAAAATCATTAATATCTGAAGGATAAAAAGTGAGAAAAATAAAATTAAAACAAATTAATCTTCATCATATTAATTATTCATTTAAATGAAGCTAAATTTAAATTAATTGAACAAGTAAAGAAAAAAAAAAAAAAAACAAAAATGATCGATGATATGAATAGTCTTTTTTTTTTTTTTGTTATCAAGACTAATGAATGAAACTGTAAAGTCTCTTGATTATTGCATGTAGACTTGAATTAACATTGCCACTTACTTTGATTGTTTCATAAGAAAATTTATATTCATAAAATAAAATATTGATATTTATTAAGATTAAAGAACAAAAAAAATTAAAAATTTTTTTTTTTCTATTCTTCAAGTTTAATATATATAATTTTTCGAACGAAAAAAAAAATAATGTTTGATTATTAATGTCAAGTGATATTTGTCATTTAGTTTTATTCGTTATACTAATCACTAAGTATGATAATAAAAAAATTTTCTATTCAACTTGAATAGATAAATCTTATCGAAAAAAAAAAATATGATAAAAATTTATAATTATCATTTAAATTTTGTATTTACGATAAAGATATCATGTTATAAGTTACAAGAATATATAGATAAATATTTTATAATAAAACACATAGACTTCTTAGACAATTCAAGTTGATATACGTGATATACATTCTACAAAACGTGTGTGTATGTGAGTTGAATGTATATCTTATATTTTACAAGGATTAGATGATTGAGAAAATGTAAATAAAACAACTGGTTAATTATTTTTATTTAAATGATCAACATATGTGATGATTCATTCATCATGGTGTACAGTATGTAATGACAATGATTCAAAAGAATTATATAAAAACTGACATTGATTATACATATGGAATATAACATCAAGATGAGATTTTGTATTTTTTGAGTTGACCATGAATATGCATTATCTCATTCTTCTTGTTATATCATCAATAAAAGATTGATGAAAGAATGGTTTATAGTTCGACCTTGGATTAATATTTATTTTGACCATTAGTTTGGATAGTCTTTTTCTAGAAAAGATTCTTCAATTTAATGTGCTTATAATAATAACACAATAGCTTCTTTTTTTTTTTTTATCTATTAGCAATGTTCTACCATAAATTAGAAATATTCTATATTAATTGAATAATAATAATAATATTTAAATGAAATTTTACAAAATGATTTCAATGATGAATTTTCTCAAATAGTAAAGACATCGAATATATTCTATTTATTTATAAATTTGTAAATGATGAGATTCATTGACATAGAATCAAACAATTATTTGATAACTATTGTCTTATCTAACATAATGAAATAATAAAAAAAACATTAGAAAAAAATATCAATTTATTCATATTAATATTTCAATTTTATTCCTATAGATACAATTAACTAAACAAAATTTGTAATTTTTTGACATTTAAAGAATTGTCATAGCAATACTAAACGATGTTCTACTATTCAGATCTTTCTCTTATCAAGTGACAAATAATGTACTACTTTTTTTTTTTGACTTATATTAACTTATATATAACACAAAAAAAAAATCAAATATTATGATCTAAAATTTTGCCTTGAAATCAATTTGAATATATTAATAAGACTGTTCATGTTTGAATAAGAGATTCTTTACAAATTGGATATTTCTCTATGACATCGGAAATCAAGCTGTTTTTTAAAATCTAATATCTCAGGATGAAAGTATTCATTTAAAATAAAAATTTCAGCACGTCATAAAAAATCTAAAAAAAAAAAAGTATTTTGAATGCACATTATTTAATTAAATTCAATCAACAAAATACTACTATTTTTTAATCTTCTTTTCTGAGATTGTATTGATAAAATATAATGTACTTTCATCTTTTATTCTCGTTCGAGATGATTATTTCTATTGGAAATTTTCAAATTTTGATTTCATACATTTCTAACCTTGATATCGACCAAAAAAAAAATAAAATTAGATTATGATACCTGGTGAGATAAACCTTCAAATATGCCGGATGAAACTGTCATCTTGATGAACGGAAATGCTGTCGTTTATTAATCATAACAGGAAACTTTATTATATACAATTGTAAAATTTTTATCCCTCGATGATAATAATTTTTTGTCATATATTGTAGTATTTGTTACTTATATGAATGTTTGATTATAAATTTATATATTTTCTGATAATTTAAATAAAACTTTACATTGTTAATTTCTATAAAAGAAAATGTTTTTTTTTTTTTTGTTATCCTTGAGGATAACATTTAATACATGTTTATCTCATTTATATGTTGTGTCATTATGAGATATGATTATGATATTGTTTTAAAATGTCATTTTGAAATATTTGATTAGAATCGTTCATAATACTAGAGATTTCAATGATTATTGAAGTGTTTTATAATCAATAATTGACAATATCAGATCTGTTATAAAACAAAAAAAAAAGAGATCTAAATTGTTTATATTTCCATATGAATAAATTATGAGTTAAGAACTTTGAAGATGAAATTAACTGATTTCAATACATTGAATTTTCTTATTAGATTGTTGATTTATGAATTTTAATTATAGGCAATAAATTTTTGTAATAGTTCATCAAAGTTGATAAAAATTAATTGTTTTTTTTTTTAAGGAAAAAAATGTATGTGACTTATGAATTTTGTATACTCTCATAATCGGTTATTAAAAGTCAAATTTACACAGTTGAAAGAAACTTTTTTTTTTAATGAGTTTGTCTTAGCATTATAAGGTCATAGTAAAGTCTAATTTTTACATTATCCTTATAAAATGAATGACACAAGTTAAAGAGTACTATTGTAATAGTACAAATTAAATGTCGATGATATAGAACTAAAATTTATTTTTACACATATTCGATAATTTGAATATTAACATTGAAGTGAAAAAAAAAACAAGAATAAAATTGATATAAGGATGTAGAAGAGCGATTCTTGTCTTCATACATATGTACATTCTTAATAATATTAAATGAGAATGAGATTTTAACCTTTTCTAGAAAATGACAATCAATGTTCAAAATATAATTCGGATTACAAATCAAATAATCTTCAAAATAAAAGACTTATTTCGTTATGTGTTTGTCAAATTAAAATTTCTTTTTTGACAAGAAAAACAAATTAAAGATAATTCTAGTTGTTTATGTAAATATTTTCATTGACTAAATCAACTAGCTCTCTTGTTTTTTTTTTTTTTACTCTGAGTAAATTCAACTATCCATTTAGTTAATTAGATCGTTTAAGTAGAATTAGTTAAAAAACTATACGCGAAGGTTCTATGTATATACTATGAATAAATATCAATCAATAACTAAAGTACTAATGATAGAGTTTCATCTAATATTAGTCTATCAACTAGATGATATTTTCAAAACTTTATATTCAATTAATAATATATTCAGATGAAAAATTTCATTTGTTTTTTTAAATATAAATTTATTATATCTATTTTTTAATTCAATTGAAATATGATATCGATCAATAAAATAAATTAATGTTTAACATAATAAACATAAAAGATAATATGAATGACGACTTTTTTTTTTACATGACGTTAAATTTAGATTAAAAATGCCTGTTGAATGTCAGAAACAAGTGCTTAAAAATCACAATATATCTAATCCTTTAAAACTTCATACATTCCGTATATATTAATGAAAATCTGTCATTTTCAATGAATATATAACGTCATATCTTTTGAATAAATGTCGTATTCTATTTTTTTTTCATTCATCATATATCACTATACTTTAAATTTATTCAATGACTTGAAAAACAAAAAAGAAAAAACATTATATATATATCTTAATCATATATAATTAATAAATTTTTATTATTATTATTTAATTAGAGAAGAAATCAATAGACTGATAATTTACATTCTGTTTTTTTTGTTTTTTTTTTCTCTAAAAACTTTTTATGCAATTAATTTGACGACTAATAAAATAAAATTACGAGCAGGCAATATTTATTTGACATTCAAAAAAAAATAATATATGAGTACTTATATGTACTTATAATTAGATAATTATATAATAATTTATTTTCACTTTTTTTTTTGTTTTGTTCTGAATTTTTTAATTCTTGAGCAAATTTATAGTTGTTTTAACATCATCATGATTGTTGTCAATATTTTTAATTATATCATCATTGAAAGTATGTGAAGATAAATTGTTATCAAATTCACGTCGAAGACGCCATCGACCAAGAATTGAATGATATTCATGAACCTATATAAAATAAATATTTAATTATATGTGATATTCTATGAAAGAAAAAAAAAGCAAATACTTTTTGTAAATAACGTTTCAAATCCTCTCTTGAAAGAAGATGATCTGGACGTCTTGGTGGTGCTATATAAAATAAATTCATTAAATCAACTTTTGTTTTTTTTTTAAATTTACTTACGTGGTACTCTACTAAATGCTGCTTGGCCCAGATCAATAAGTACAATCATTAATAACAGTGATGCGATTTTAACATTTGAGACCATAGCTTTACAATTATCTGAAATACACAAAATAAAATAAATAGAATACAATCTAAATTTTTACTTTTTTTTTTTTTTGTTTTCAATACAATTAAAGAAAATAGAACAAAAACTTATCTCTTGAGAAAACACTTGTTTGATTACAAACAAGAAAAAAAAAAGAAGCTGCTTAAAAAAAATTAGGTTCAGTACTAATATTAGTATTTCTCTAATATATTTTCTTCATGTTTTACAAATTAAGATATGTTTATTAGGACGTTAAGAAAAAACACAATAAGTGCATCACGAAACAAAAAACACTAGAGTGTTAGACTATTGATAACAAAAGAGAATGACTATTAAAAATGAATTCATCATTGTAGAGAAAGACTTGTGTGTTGTTTTTTTTTTGTTTTTTGATGATTAATTAAATTTCTTAAGCTTCTTGAAAAAGACATAATAACAACGTCATTTTTTTTTTCATGAAAAAAGAAATCTGAACGATAATAATAAGTATTTAAAACCTAATAACCAACCATAGAATAAAATTAATACGTATGACAACAAAAATGCGTTCATTTAGTAGAAAGCAATTCAATCTCTATAGAATTAAATACTTTTGATACTAAAAATATTTCAAACGAATTAATAAAAATCTGCATTATAAAAGTATATTTTTTGAAGTCGAAAACAAAAAAAAATTCCGAAAATTAATTTTTAAACTTCGAAAATTCTTTCTATCATCAATATTTAACTCAACTTTAGATAAGAATTTTAATAAGTAATAAAATTTTCAGATACGAAAAGACCATATTTATTGGAATCTTCCTTTAAAAAGTCAAAAAGTATCACAAAAATTGGCTAAACAACGCCTTTTTTTTTGGATACTTTTGAACTCTTCAAGAGAAGATTGTAGAACTTTCATATTATGCTCTTTAAGATGACATAGTTAAAAAAAACAAAGATCTTCAGACACTTGAAAATCTTATTATGGAATAGATTAAATAGAAAAACTTCGTTGTCTATCAAAATCACGATCATAATTTGAACTACGTGCTTAATAAAATAGAAAATGCACGTTATTGTAAAACTTCTTTTCATCATCTTATTTAGTACATAACATAAAGCCGATATGTCAAATTAAAATACTTACAAGGAAAGTTCTTCAATAAATTAATTATTACTTTTGAATTGAAATCATGTGCATTGTATAAACTATAATAAGATATGAATATTCTGAAAAAAAAACAAGATCGAATCCTTAGCTTCTTGCTGACGAGACATGGCATTTTTATGGTTTTTTTTTGATGAGTATTAACATCCTCCTCAGAAACACTAGAAAAATTTATTTTCAACTTCAAACTTAGTATCAAAATATATTTTGACGAAAAATAATTAATCATAGTAAAAATTAAACTCGTACATTCAAATATATTTTGTTTTTAGAATAGAAACAGTTGAAAAAAAGTACTAAATACTTTCAAGATTAACAAAACTATTCTCATTATGATTGTAAAGTATTAAATCGAAATTCTATAATCAATTTTCTGAGTATGACCTATCCGTTAATAATAAACTATGCGTTCAAACTTTTTTTATTATCCATTAATATCTTTATGACACATGTACTTCTGTCTCAAAAACCGATTAATTATTTAAGATACTTTCTATAATTATTAAAACGATGTTTACACAATAGATCATGAACAATCTTACAAAATGAAATTTACCTTTGTACAAATATTTCAGATATAGAAGACAAAAGAAGAAAAAACTAATAGAAAACTTTCTTCTCATTTACTATTAAAAGAGTATTATAATATATCATGAAAAGATGATCTATTTCTACGGAATATCTTATACGTTATCGTACTTAATAAATATGATGAAAATTGAAAGAAAAACGTTATAAAAATAGATTTTAGTAATCTAGATTATATGAGTCAATAAAATTAAGTTTTAAGCTCAAAGTATCATCTTATATAGAATTAAATTTTAAAAATAAACACTGTTATATAATCACTTTTTTTTTTGCGAAAAAAAAAACACATTACAATTTCAAATAAAATTTGAATATTGTAATAAAAAAGATAAACTTTATTATTTTGATAATTTTAGTTTAACAAAAAAGCTATTCATACTTTATTTTACAGTAAATAAGAGTTGAATGCTTTCTATACCGTGATAAATATCTCGTTATATTTAATTTCCGAAAAAAATTTGACATTAATCATAATATATGAAGAATTAAGATTAATTTTTTGAGGTTTATTTCTTTTTATAGTTACATAAGAAATGACAAAATTTGTACTTTCTAATCTTTCGTGGAAATGAAATGATTATGTTAATTCTTGCTTTTTTTTTGAATACGAGGACAAATAATAGTATAAGATAAATCATATCTATTATTTTTAAAATAAAAAAAAAAAAAGAAACTTTATTTTCAACATGTATATTAGATCTTTTTTTCTACTTAATGCTTATATTATTAAATATTTATTTCTACTTTTAAATAATAGAAATTAATGAAATATAAGACAAGAATGTTTTTTTTTTCCGAAGAAAATATTTAACGATAGAGGTGTGTGACCACGCTTATATAATATAAGAACGCAAGAAATCTAGTTGAAAACTCTATGACTTATTTAAGAATATTTTTGATATATAACATAAAAGATAATTTAAAATATATTCAAAAAAGACATACAATTTAAATAAAATTTGTTCAAATATAAACATTAATCATGTTTAAATAAAAGAATTTTATTTCTCCATTTGTTGAATAGTTTATTGTATAACAAAAATTATAAAATATTCGATTCCTAACTATTTATTATATTAAATATAAATGTATATATTCCTTAAAGAATAACTATATATACCTTTAGCTTTTTTTTGTTCCTCCATTGATAGTTTCTGGAAGGATGAATTTTGTCCTTTTTTTTTTTTGAATGACTAATTTCCCAAAAGTAAACAGAAAATATCTCTGAAGTAGACTTTTCTTTTGTTATTTCAATTAATTATAATATTGATCATTGAACTATACAAATACATCCTTTTTGTAATATGCTCTTACGGGACACTTATGAAAAAAGAAGTTACTTCAAGTAATTCATGTAGTTTTTGTGCTAATATATTTTTTTGTTTTGTATAAAAAATGAGAAAAGAATTATAATTAACAAATACATGAAAATGAGTAAAAAAAAGAGATAATAGTATCTTTTGATTAATTCTTGCACATCATTTCACTAAAACTCTTCACCTATTTCTCTTCTCATATATAGGAAATGAAAAAAATTTTTGTGAAGATGTATCAATAGAATACTCAAAAATATGATATATCATTCGTTAATATTTAAAGCTGCGCAAAATACTCTAAAGTATTCGTACTCAAGTATCAAAATATTCCAAAAAAAAAAATACAAAGGCAAATAAGACTATTTGTTCACTTCCAATTATTTCAGTTGTTTTTCTCTTGAAATCAATTGAGCGATAACTGTGAATATCATCACAAGAGTTTATTGTACGATGGCTCGCTACCAAGTTATCGAGTTTCACGCTTTATCTTATACAAAATTGCACTTAGATATATTCGACAATTGTGCTGTAACGATATTGAATACATATTTCGGAATAATCCTATTGAAAATTCTCATTTTTTGAAAGAGATCTTATATTACATACGATTGACATATCAACAGTATATATACAGTAGGACCTGCTCAGTGTCTATACCTTCGGGTAAATCATTTCAGCGCCGATATCTAAGAATTATCGGTAAGAACTCGCAGAAAAATACTGTTAGTCTGATTGGAACTAGATAAATTCGATCACTCAGATTCTTGCTTTGAAGATTTTGACGTTTTACGTTCGAAATGAACTGTATCTCATTCATCTAGACAATTAAACAGAGGAAGTTTATCTCTACAAGGTTACATATGTATTCACTTCTGTAGTCGCAAAATTCTTGAAAAACATATAAACATTTTTTCATAAAATTAATATTTGCTTGAAAATAATTTAAGAAAAAAAAAAGAAGATATTAACCATTTGATAATTCTTGAGAAATATTTTCAATATATCTATATCAATTAATTGATGAAACGATTCTTACTTAAAAAAAAACGCTTCTAAATATATTCTCTCTTATTTATTAATACACATAAATATTTCTTTTTCCATCAAAGAGCACCCTCTTTCGTTTAGAATTCTATCGGTTACTAACTTAAAACCAATATTTATTAATTTCATAATATGTCGTCATTTTCAATTTTAATATTTTGTAATTCTTTTTTTTTGTTTTTCATATAAATCAATTGTAAAAAAAAAAACTTTCATTTTATTTAGATATGGATTATTCAAATCGAATATTATGTGGTCCTATGGTAAGAATATCCAGTCTTCCATTTCGACTTTTAGCACTTGAATATGGTGCTGATATTGTTTTTTCTGAAGAATTAATTGATTATCGTCTTATACAATGTGTTCGAATTGAAAATGGTATATAATAATAATTATTATGTTTTTTTTTTCTATGAATTCATCATTTTTTTTTGTTTTATTATTTAGATTTATTAAATACTATTGAATTTGTTGTACCAGGTAGTGATCGACCAATGTTACAAATAGATAAAAATCGTGAAAAAAATCGTCTTATTATTCAATTGGGTACATCAGATGCACAACGAGCTTTAAATGCTGCTCGACTTATAGAAAATGATGTTGCCGGAATTGATATTAATATGGGTTGTCCAAAAAAATTTTCTATTCAAGGTGGAATGGGTTCAGCATTACTTAATCAACCAGATAAAGTTAAACAGGTACAAAACAAATATATAAATTTTTTGTTTTTAATAAAAACAAAAATTTGCTTTAAGATACTCGAAACTTTAGTAAACAATTTATCAATACCTGTTTCATGTAAAATTCGATGTTTACCAACGTTAGGTAAATCAATTTATATTTTATTTTAATAACAAAAACTTATATATATATTCATAGATAGAAGCGACATTATCACTTGTACGTATAATTGCAACAACTGGTGTACATGCAATAACAATACATGGTCGAACACGTGATGAACGTAATAATGATCAATGTCGAGAAACATTTATTCAATCAATTATTCAACAATGTCCATCTAATGTTGTTATTATTGCAAAGTAAAATTTAATAAATTAATATATGCTAATATTTTTTTTTGTGTCATTATGTATTGCTTAGAATTTTCATTATTTCTATCTTAATAGAACATTGTTTATTATAAAAAGTTTGAGATCTTTTGATTTTCTTATTATTTTTTTTTAATAAGAACGTCAGCTATGCGCTGGTGTATATGAATAGTATAAAAGATATATTAATATTATAGTTGTATCTTAGGATAGAAATAGCAATAATATGTACAACTTTTACAATATAGTATTAACTTACGCTTTCCTTCAAAAAAAAGTCATTTTTAAGATAAATACAGGGGAAGATAGCTCGTTATTGGATATTTCATAAATGATGAAAATTTTTACTCGGTATATCCTATTCGAAAAACAAGCTGTTTTTCAAAAAAAAAAAAGACCGAAAATCTTTTTCGATTTTTCGAAGAATATGAGAGTCACTTTTTTTTTTAATTAAACTTTGCTTTTATTATATATACAAACTTTTATATAATTACAGCGCCATTTGTCGAGAGGTTTTTTGAGTCATTGAACTTTCAATGCATTTTTTTGCCCTTAAAAAGTAAGAGTTTAAAAAAAAAGGAAGACTCTGAAATTCTCTTTCAAACAAAAAAAATATTAAATATATAGACTGAAGATCACAGAAATTTTGAAGACGAAATTATTTATTTTTTTATCCTTGTTTGGCCAATATCTCCGTCAAACATTATGGTACAGGGCTGAAAATTTTATCATAGCCATGGTTCATCAGTCCCGACATATTCTAAAAATTTCGTGAATGTTCCCAGCCTGAGATCGGATTTTGAGAGAGAGGAAGCTTTAAAAAAACAGTATAAAAATGCAATATCTCGGCAGTAATAAGCTACGATCTTGAGCTCTTCTCAGCGGTATTTGTAACTCATCAAAATCCATATAATACACATAATTGTAAGTTCAAAGCGATTAGTCAATTTAAGAAAGTTCGCTCCTCTATGACTAAAATCTTGTGTATGGATGTGTAGTTTCAGTTTATTAGTCATTGAAGTCTTGTAACACGCCGCTATTAAAAATGCATATAGAGGTGTAAGCCATCCAGCTGCCCCGCTGCCGCCGCCGCTGTGAAAAGTTAGTTCAGCCGTTGCGCCGCCGCCACCACGAGCGAAAATTTTTGATAATAGTATGATGCGCCGCCGCCATTGACATCGATACATATGCGATCGGTCATTTTCTCGCATTTTAGGAGCGAAAACGTCTTTTTTTGGTTGTTGAAGCCGCCGCCGATGTAGAAAAACCTAAAGTATAGTAGCCGCTGCCGCCGCCGGTGTAGAAAAACATGTAGTCTAGCAGGCGCCGTCGCCATGGAAAAAAATTAGACCATTAAAACAGTCGCCGCCGTTTGACCCCTCGGCTTACACCTCTAAATGCATACTTTGACAGAGTTGATTTCTCTATATTGCAACGAACATAGATTTCAATGTAATCAATGCCCCAATGAACTTTATGTCGGTAAATCACTGTTTAATATTTACACTAATATTACACGTCCATAGTTTAAAGTCATAAGAGAAAATCTAATGAATCTAAAATTTATTAGTTAAAAGAAACATTAAATAATATTATAAATTCATAATTGAAATTTGTTAATAATATATAATTACAGTAACTATCGAATAGATTTCCTATAGTTTCACAAATAATTTCATACTGCATCATTTGGCACAAACATTCCATTTAAAAACAAGAAGAATATTTCGAATTTTTATTCTAAGAAAAATAAAAACTAAAAAATTATTTTTGTTTAGTGGAGGATCAACAAATATTTCATCATATTCCGATATTGAAAAATTTCGATTACGATGTGGTCCAGCTCATGGTGTTATGATATGTCAAGCTGCTATGTGGAATCCAAGTATATTTCGATCAAATGGTCTCTTATCACTTCAAGATGTTGCAAAACGATTTCTTGAAATAGTATTATCTTATTCGATTTAATTTCTTTCTGTTATTAAAAAACAAAATATTTTAGAGTCTTGAATATGATAATATGCTTCCGAATATGAAATATGTTCTTCAACGAATGTATGGTGTTATTGATAATGAAAATATATTATATGATAAAATATTATCAACAGAAACTGAAAGTCAACTTTAGTAAGAAAATTATTTTTGTTTTATTTCATTTTTAAAATTTAAAATTCTTATTTTATTACAAAATTAATAGTAATTTATTTAATATGAAAAATGAATATGAACAATCACCAATAGAAAAACGACGATTATGGCGTGATAAACTTCGAAATCAATTTGTTAATATATCTGATAAAGAATTTGAAAATAATATTATTGAAAAATCAGCTAAATTTATTCGGTAAGAATTTCATATTACCATAAAACTTTTAGAATAAAATGAATCCTGTTTTTTTTTTGCATAACTTTTCATAGGAGACCTGAAATTTTCATTTTTATAAAAACTTATTATTACCGTATATTTTAATGAAGTTCTTTCTTTTTTCTATAGATCAGACTATACATCTACAATGACACCAAAATCAATATTGAATGCATATTGTATTCATGCAAACATTGATAAACCTATTTATCATACTGTAAATTTTTGTATATACGTAACTAAAAATGAAATATTTTTGATATATATATAGGAAGAATTAAAACCTCAACGAATCTTTCGATCAATACTTGATTTCAATGGTAAACGTTATACAACAACAACATGGTATATATAAAATTTTTGATTAATTATCATTTAATATTTGAATATATATATATATATTATTTTTTTTTTTAGGGAAAAAAGTAAACAATTAGCTGAACAAGGCAGTGCTATTGTTTGTTTAGAATCTATTGGTATTGATCCAATACGTGCTAAATATGGCATGAATTATATAAAAGCCTGTCTTTCTAACGAAAATAAATTATAATCAATAAATTTTCTCAAAAAAAATGATTTTTGAAATTTTATTATATATTATACAATAATAGAAGATCATTAAGGAACTGCAAAATGGTCCCATGGAACCAAAAATTATTTTTACGGGACCGCTACCGGAACTGAAACCATTTTTTAGCTGGTTCCGAAAAATTATTTTGAATAAAAAAAAAAAGAACTCAATTATCTTTTCAAGTCGATTGATGATCAATAATTTCTTTTATTATTTCATGCAAAAAAAAAACCAATGTTTTTCAAATATCTATTAACATGTTTATAATATTCACATATAGACAGATAATAGATTATTAAGACGATTTATAAGAGCAGAATCAGAAATATACACATTACACGGCGTACACTTATGCGCGACACCGTAAGAGGTTTCTTACAAATTTTTTTTTATGTTCGCTATTAAAAAAAACGGGGCCGGAACTAAAAGAAATATCAGCCGGGACCGGGACTCAAAGAAATATCAGTCGGGATCGGGACTAAAAGAAATATCAGTTGGGACCGGGACTCAAAGAAATAACAGCCGGGACCGGGACTAAAAAATATCAGCCGGGATCGGTACTGGGACTAAAAAACAATATTAGCCGGTACCGGGACTAAAATCCGGCACCGGGACCAAAAAAAACGTGATCCCGCAGTTTCCTAAAGATAATATACAATACTCGTTAAAATTGAAATAACAGCAACATGTTGTTGACTTACATTTCTAGTGTTTGGTATCTATTTAAAAGTAATTAGTAAAATATTGTTCTTAAATCATCTGAGGAAAAAAAAAGTTTGAAAGTTTCAAGATAAATTGTATAATATGAGTTCTATCTCTATGATAAATTTTTTAGCAAGATTAGAATTTTCTAATTTCAAATTATTTTTTTTTTTTCTTCAAGACATCTAAAACTTAATTTAAAATCTTCAAAAAATATAATTCTTTTTCATTTTCATATTTCGAGATTCGAAAAAGGAAAATTTAAATTATGAAATTTTTTTCAATATTAATATAAAAAAAAACAAAAAATGCTTTTTTTATAATATTTCTAATATAAATTTATTTTCCTAAAACAATAATAAATATAATTTAAACTTCTTTTTCTACATTGATAATAACATAAAAATAAAATCATAAAACTAATAATCAATAGAAAATAATAAAAATTTTTTATATTAAAATTTCGTAATCTATGATAAATATATAGAATTATTTTAGCATCTTTTCCATGCCATGAATTTCCAGGTGTATGCCATGTATATATAGATGAATAAACAATTTCATCAATAATACGTATTCTTGATTGATAATATAATTGATCAAAATAATATTCATTTAATGAAAGATATGATGGACCTGTACTTAACATAATTGTAAAATAATCAATTAAATAATTATGATTAAATAATGAAAGACGTGATATAAGAATTTTAAATAATGGATGTTCTTTTGTTGTTATCATAAAACCATTTGATATACCAATTGGATCTGTACGAGGAAAAGCTGCTAAATGTTTTATATTTAAATCAAGTATTTCTAATATATTTAATAAACTATTCCATGATTGTCTACATCCATTATCCATATCAATATATATACCACCATAATGATATAATATAAAATAACGAAATGCATCAATACGTTGAATATTAAATTTATATTTAAGAAATGTATGTTGATAAAAATATGGATATTTTTCAGAAATAAATTTATGTATATCATTATCTGTCCATAGATGATATTCAAATTGTTGAGTATTAAATTGATGTACTGATTGAACAGTTTTATTCCAATATATTGGTATATTATGTGTTTTCCATGTTTGATGAATAATACGAGGAATACGATAATATTTTGTATTATTTAATAAAAAATTTTCATTTTTTAATTTATTAATATGTGTTTCAGTTAAATAAACTCGTAATGAACGACGACGAAATATAATAATATAAATAAGAAAAATAATTATTAATAAAAATAATATTCTACGAAAAATTAATTTCAATTGCATATATAAAT